TATTTTACAAATATGTTTTTATCGATAAATAAGTAATTTGTACATATATTTGTTATTTTATATTCATAATCTCTTTATTAACGTTATTATAAATTTTATTATTATTATGTAGTGTTTAAAAAGCGAGTAGGAGTGTTTTATCAGGTATAAAAGCACGAGGCGTAACCGAGTGCTTTTATACCTGATAAAACACGATCTACGAGTTTTTTGAACTGCTTAAAACACTCATGAACAATTTATAAGATTTTGGTTCAACTGGAGCCACCATACACGTCGCGAACATGGATTTTTATACTTCGATAGAGATTTGACGTCACGGGCATGCGCAACCAGGATTCAATAGAAGCTCCCACACGTTGGATATTGCGTGCCAAGGCAAAGATAGGCACGTTAGTCAAAGATCATTAGGATTGGCTATGACCTTGATGAAGCTCTAAGTCTTCATCTAAACTTGGATGCATACTTCATCCCTGATGAAGTCATCGTCATAGTATTCGAGTGGTCTTTATATAAAGATAACATGTGTCTTTATATAAAGACACATGTGTCTTTATATAAAATCACTTGAATACTAATGAAGAGGACTTTATCGGGTATAAAGGTTCATGCACGTGACGTGTATGGTGACTCCAATTGGACCATAAGTTTATKAATTATTAATGAGTGTTTTAATAATAGTTAATTGAATTCTATCATTAAAAAATATATATATATAGTATTATTATAATGGTATTGAGATTATGAACTTTAAATCCTATAGTTTTTCATTTTATTTTTGTTTATCATTATCTTAAAATATTAAGCATTGGAACTTTAGTAGCTTTGGAGCGAGTGTATTTCTATTTCTATTAAGACATGCATAGATTATTAAGGTTTATTTAAATAAGATTATTATTATTATTTTATAATTATTAAAAGAAAATATTATTGTTATTATTATTATTATTATAGTCAAGATTGTTACCAATGATATATTTTGTGATTTTGTTCGTCGCGATCTTACTAACCAGAGTTACGCGCGTTACGCTACAGCTTCCCTAGGCCCACCTACCTATATCTTTTCCCTTGTACAATACTTGTCGAGCTATCTATTGATCCTGCGTGAAGAGCCCCTAGTACTAACATTACTCTCCGTGCTTGTAAAGATACCCTTAGCCTCGCTTCTATGACTTGATTGTAAAACACAAGATATTTCTGTACAGGTTTCTAGACAACAGCCAGTACTCACATTCCAATAATCTCTTGATCAGCTCGAATTGGGTGTATTCGGCGCCTTCTACTCTTCAAAGATAAATCCAGTTTCATTAAAGTTATGGAAGGGAGAAATCATGGTGACCCTGAAGCCATCGTACTCATCAGAGAAGATCCATCAAGTAAGCCGATGATATAATATCAATAATAAAAGTAATAATAATAATAATGATAATAATAATGATAATGATAATGATAATGATAAT